TGCTCCTAGTCAAATATGTTTTGTAACAAGCCATTCCTGTTCACTCACATAGTTCCCTTGAATTCATTTTGAGTGCAGTCTTGATGCTATTGTGAACCTGCAAAATGAGGTATGCATCAGAGGACACCGAATATAGCTGCTACAGAAATACAGACTTTGTGCTTATTGGGTATTAGAAGAATGAAGTTCTATCTTAGCTATGTTTCCACAATAGCCAGCATAGCCACTTTGGGTCTCTTTTTTAGAGAGGAAAAAGTGGGGTCGAAGAAAAAAATATCAATACAGTCTTGCTTATCCAAGATAAACAGGCCGGCAGAACATTGGATAAGTGAAAGTGTTGGATTATAAGGAGGGATTAAGGAAAAGCCTATTAAATGTAAAATTACGTTATGATTTTACAAATTAATCACCAAAACATCATGCTTTACAACAAATGGACAGAAAAAGCAGTTTAATACATGGCAACATTATGTACTAAGCTGTGGATCTGGGTGGGAGGCAGACTGTGTTGGATAATACAGAACGTTGGGTGAGCAAAGGTTGGATAAGCGAGACTCTACTATATATATGTGTGTGTGTGTGTGTGTGTTGGGATGTGGCATTTTGCTATCTCTCCTCATTGAAACAGTATATGCAGTGGACATGTTTCTGATTTTACGTGCCAGTTGCGTGTCTTTATGAGTTAGAAAAAGAGTTTTTATTAAGAAGATGCATCTTCTAGCCAAAAAGATCCCAAACACACTATGTAGTGTTCTTCATTGGAATAACACGAAGAGTTTAATATTGGAAGCCACAGACAAATGTCCGAGAAACACAGATAAGAATGTGATTTCACTCCATGATCTGGGATTTGTTTTTGAGGTCTCTTCCTGGTCTTGGGCTTTAGGACCACAGAATGATTTTCAGCCTGCTTTTGAGTGTTCATTGCTATTAAGATGGGCCTGTTACTCCCTTGGGTACTGCTGCATGGCATCTGGCTCTGGGATTGAGAGTGTTAATATCTCACTTACACAATTGTAGAGAGCTGCTACTTCCCTCCTGTGTGCTAATAATGTCCCGTGCCTTTCTCTCTTCTTTCACAACTGGGCAGTGAGAGTGATCCAGGCAGAGGAAGGAGAAAGCCTCTTCATCACAGTTAGGACAATAGCTACATCCTGGCAACCTTGCAGGATATAGCCACAAGCCAGCTCCTCCACGGCTCCTGGAAGGAAAGCTGCCTCACTTTCCCAGCAGGTCAATTTCCTCTTGCAGAAAAGGATGCCTGCTTGACACCAGCTCCGCACTCAAAATCATGATGAAGTTATTCTTAGTTAGAAGGAAATGATGCAACAAGGAATTCATCCACTTGGAGGAAGCTGGGTTTCCGTCCACGGGTATTATCTGAGCAGGCTTGTGCTTTATTCATTCAGCCAATCTGCTGTATGCAGGCTTAACTGCAGGGATGGCTCAAAAGAGCATTTCATGTCAGCAGGTCACAAGGTCTTTGCTTTGATGGGATCTGCTTTCAAAGTTCATTCATTTACCATCTGGTCTGCCCAGTCCTTGGTCCTGTTGTTCTTTAAGATGCTCAAAACTGCCCTGTAGATATTGGGGACTATTTTTTGGTAAAGATATTCAGTTGTGAAATATGACCTGGGAAACAACAGAACTCTCCACCCCAATTGCTGAACATGAGATTGTATAATGCAGGGCTTCTTATACTTTTTTGTTCAGGATGTGTTTTGCCTGAAGAAATTTCTACATGGCCCCTAGTAAATAATAATAATAATAATAACAACAACAATAACAACAACAACAACTTGTGCCACAAATACCATCTGCCTGTGACAAGGATCTGGTGGGATTACAAGTCTGAAAAGGTTACGGAAAATGAACATGTCAAACTATTCTGGGACTTCCGAATTCAGACTGACAGAGTTTTGGAGCACAATACTCCTGACCTCATGATTTGGGGGGGGGGGGGGGGGGGGGGGGGCGGACGGGACAAGTATGGATCATTGATGTTACAGTCCTAGGTGACAGCAGAATTGACGAGAAGCAACTGGAAAACCTGATATGAGGATTTAAGGATAGAGCTGCAAAGACTCTGGCACAAGCGAGTAAAGGTGGTCCCAGTGGTGGTCGGCACACTAGGTGCAGTGCCTAAAGACCTTGGCTTGCACTTAAACACAATCGGCGCTGACAAAATTACCATCTGTCAGCTGCAAAAGGCCACCCTACTCGGATCTGTATGCATTATTCACTGATACATCACACAATCCTAGATACTTGGGAAATGCCTGATGTGTGATCAAATACAAAAGCCAGCATAGTGATCTTGTTTGCTGTGTACTAATCTTGTTATGTATCAAATAATAATAGTAATATTAATAAATCTTCATTTATATCTCGCTTTTCTCCCAAAGCGGCATATAAAGGGACCCAAAGCAGCATATAAAAGACATATAAAAATCAAATATTTACTGATAAGAAATCAGCATTTGCAAGGTTCACTAAACAGACTGATTTTTCTTTTTATGAAGTACAGCTGAAGCATGCTCTGCAGAGTCCACTGTAAACACTGCACAAGAGATTCACGTTAATGTCTAAAACAGCTAAGTGGCATTCAGAAAACCTTTACTGTTGCCCAACATTGAGCTAAGGGAACCCCATTTGGGGTCAGGACCCACGGTTTAAGAAGGAATTGCATAATGGATTGTTATACTTGAGCATGTAAAATGCTTCTCTGTAAAATATTTCCTGCAAATAAACACTAGCATGGCATTAAGAGTCATGCTATAGTCTGCCTTATAGTCTTTGTTTCGGATATGCTATTTTTCCTTGTGTGGAATATTTTTATGTGGAAGAACATTTAAAGATGGCACCTCCTTCCAGAGATCTGACGATATCGTCTTCTAGTCTGCCACTTCTGATTCTGTCATCTTGTTTGGCATAAACTTAATTTCATAAGGACATCCAAAACACACATTTATTTTTCCAGATGAGAAAGTGTGTGTTACTGTTTTCTGAGTGTAGGAGGGCACTGCTTGAAGTTGTTTCATGTTGCATCAAGAGACTAATGTCTTGAATTGTCATATTTCACAAAGGAGACAAAAGTAGACATGTAATCGAATCTTCATTTTTGCAAAATGGACTCTTTTTCTCTTGCTCATTTCATTATCTACATCTGTTGCTGAGTGGGTTGAGTGATGAACTGCATGTGTGTCAGTTGTTTTTCTGGTCTTTGAGATTTTGATATCAGTATGATGTGTTGGAGGAAAATTTTGAGAGTGCCTTGGATCGCAAGAAGATCAAACCAGTCTATACTCCAGGAAACAAAGCCTGACTTCTTACTGGAGAAAAGGATATTAGAGGCAAAGATGAAGTACTTTGGCCACATAATGAGAAGACAAGAAAGCTTGGAGAAGACAGTGATGCTGGGGAAAATGGAAGGAAAAAGGAAGAGGGACCAACCAAGGGCAAGATGGATGGATGGTATCCTTGAAGTGACTGGCTTGACTCTGAAGGAGCTGGGGGTGGTGACAGCCAGGAGCTCTGATGTGGGCTGGTCCATGAGGTCATGAAGAGTTGGAAGCAACTGGACAAATAAACAACAACAACATGATGTGTGGAGATGTTGTTTTGCTACGATGGCTCATTTGTCCCCATGGTAGTGGTGCCTACGCTGCAAGTGTTGCCATCTTTTCTGGGACATGTTCAAAAAGAATATTGAGGCCCCAGTGAACCTAAGAGGCTTCTTTGACCCAAGACCACTAGAGCTACTATACAAACCAGATCTAATTCCACCTTGAGCGTCAGTTACTGACCATGATAGATCTGAGGTGCAGAACCTCCAAGCCCTGATCCAAAAGTGCTGGCTGGGGACTCATGATAGTATTGACTGAAAAAAATTCAAGAAAAGGGTGTTTCCTCTTTCAGGCAGAATGCAATAGTGCCTTTCCTGGGTTTACGTTTGCCAAGAGTTCTAGTGGTCTTCCTTCCTAAGATAAGGGAATTAAATAATTATGCTGTGATCTGTACTTTCGAGGGAGATAAACATGGGTTGAAAACCTTTAAAGCAAAATTAGACAGCTAATTTGATGTCCCTAGAAGTGTCTGGATTTCTGAAAATTTGAAGTCGATGAGCCTTCCTTGATTTGGGGACCTCCATATGTTTTGAACTACAATTCTCATTACCTCTGACGTGGCTTCGACTGATGGGTCTTCTAGTTCGAATCATGTGAAAGGCACTGTATAGAGAAAGTTTAGGTTAAAACTCTTTAATTGGAAAAAGAAACCATACAACATAAGAATATCTGGAATTTAAGAGTTTTGTTGGAACAAATAAACCTGATTGCAGTTTTTTCTCAGCAAATGAATGAAACAAGGACTCCTCTATAGGCTTAGATAATGGAAGTGTCATTGTCTAGCGATATATTCAGTTGTGACCTTAACTGTTTAGCTAGTTGAGGGCATCAACAAGCAGATGTAGATTTTGGCTAATTCTGCATACTAGTTTTAACCCAATGAATTTCCCTGGGAGACAGAGAGGAGGAATGCTCTAGACTTACATCTTCCATCTATTAGGAGCAGTAGTAAGCATGCCTGTGGTCCTAGATGTGACAAGAAATAGGAGAGGCAACAATGGTGGAACCTCTTTCCATCTCATACAAAGTTACTCTGATTTTTATGGGTCCTAGCCAATTCCATGTGATTCTTTGTTTTGTCCCTTATTTGGCAGTTCATGGTAAGATTCTTGCCAAGCACATCTCAGCCAAACGGTGATCAGCCATGTTGGCTGGGAAAGTCTGGAGTAGTTTATCCAAGCTCTGAAGCAGATGCTTGCTCATTGAGTGTTGTAATATTGGCTGCGATGTCTTATGAAGCAAGCTGTATGGGTTTTTTTGGAGGGATGGGTGGGGAGTTTTAGGGTCCTGCTGATCTATTCTGAAATATCTAACAAAAAAGACTGTTTTTGTATAACCCTCTTTTGTTTTGTTTTGTTTTGTTTTCCTGTATAGGACTGGGAGTGTTTAGTTCTAGAGAAGCTAAAATGGGACCTAGTGGCAGTAATAGCAAACGACTTCTTGGATCATATTCTCCAGCGGCTGCCCCTTCCCCAGCAGAAGGTGGACTTGGTGAAGAAACACGCACAGACGTTCATTGCATTGTGTGCTACAGGTATAGTTTGGGCTGTGAAAGGTGGACTCCTTTGGAAGTGTGGCTCAGCAGAAAACAACATTAAGACGAGGCAGGCCTTATTTTAATTCCTAACCATGCTCAACCAATTCTCAGCCTGACCTAAGATTCTTATTTTAAGAGAATCTGAATAGCATTATGTTTGATCTCAAGTCCCTTTATTCCTGAGCTTTGGGTTATAAACACTTTCGGAAAAGCAAGGGTGATTTATTGTTCTTAATATATAAGATTGAAAGACCTGCCATTCTAAAAGATTCTCAATAGATGCAGAACAAAATCTGCATCTATAAAGAAGAGCAGGCCCATTCTTTCTGTTATCAGAGGTCTTAATCCAATTGCCAGTCCCTTGTAAAGGAGACACACTGAATTTATTAAGGAATGGTAAGACAGTTCCATAGATTACATTGCTTCTGTGGGTCTTCCTTCGCTGGCGCTAGCAAGTGGATTTAGGTCAGAAGTTTTCACTACTTGGCTAAAGTTTAGCACTTGCTTAACTCACTTTTTGTAGTCACCTTAACACACACACTCTCTCTCTTGTGTTTCCATTTTGCTGAGAGAACTTTCACAACTCTGTTGTATAGTTTTGTCTTCTCTCAGTGTTCCGTCTAATTGAGATGGAATGCCTGGCTCACCACTCGCATTCCAGTGGTCATCTAAAATAGGCATCCATTCAGTCCTGAGCCTTTTTGTGCAGTCAGGAATCAGATTTGAACTTTGCCATGTCTACAGCTGCATGTTTCTGTCACGAGTGCAAGGACAAAGGTGCACAGTCACATGCATCTTTAATGTTAGCTGGCTTCACATAACATGCTATCAAAAAGAAGCAACTGTTAGGTAATGAAGCATCTTGGACAGGTTCCATGTGCCATTTGCTTCTTTTCTAGGTTCAGGTATTAGAAAAAGGAAATGCTTTGTGGTTACTTTGGAACTCTAGGATGTGTTCTCCAGTCACTCTTGACCTGGAAGTGAATGGAGAATGCATCATGCAGTACTGTTTCCCCTTCTTCCTTCCACTGCAGTTATTAAGGGCTGATGTATTGAGATGTTAACAGTGCTCCCACAGGAAACAATAGTTAACTATTAATTATAGATACATTTGGTGCCCAGTGTTTTCAACATATCCTTCAATGGTCCATTTGTGCAGACCACTCCTTGCATTTTGTTGCAAAATGATTTCCGTAAGCTTATGAATTGTATGAACATTTTAAGCACTGTTTCCAAATTCCTAATGCAACTCGATAGTTGCTGAGCTGAATTTGAGAAGTTGTTTTTTTAACACCCAAAGCCTTTCACAGGCTAAGGTCTTCCTTACTCCACAAGTTTTTTCTGCACATTACCATCATCTCAAGGTGTTCTGCTCCATGGGTTTTTTGTTTATGTTTTGTGAGTGAAGATGACCTTCATAAAAAGGAGGGCTTTTTTATCATAGCCTCACTGCATCCTCTTTTAGTGGAGATCTGCTAACATATTCTTGATACAACAGAGAAGAGGCTGCAGTCCCAATTCTTAAGAATTGGAGTTACTTCTGATAAGTTTTGGGGGACTAGCACTATTTATCCATTTTTATTCAGAAATAGTTCCTACTGGTTTTAATGTACCTTGGAAAAGTGGGTATAGACCTGCAGACAAATTCAGAAAAAAGACAGGTACAGAACTGTAATATTATTTATTGCAGTGCTTGTTCTGACCTACCGAGTGGAGAATGTAGCAGGATATAATTATTTTAAATAAAAAAAATTAAAGCAACATCTATATTATGTCTTCCAAAAATGCAGGAAGTATGTATCTTGTTGATATTCAATGCTTCTGCCAAAGTTGCATAACTAAAGTAGAGAATGCTAGTCACTTAGCATAAATTTGCTTAGGTTTAGCTTTGAATTTATGCAGCATGTGGACTCTGTCTTAAGTCTCTCCCCTTCCTCATTTTCTGGTTTCAATGGAATATTGTACTAGATGTAGCAGCAAGCAGGTAGATTTGTCTGTCTTCCCTTCTCCTAATGTCCTTTCTCTCCTTTTGGAATTTGTAGATTACACATTTGCAATGTACCCACCTTCCATGATTGCTACAGGCAGCATTGGAGCGGCAGTCCACGGCCTCTCTACCTCATCCAGTGATTTTTCCGGCGAGGCGCTTATGGAGTTGCTTGCTAGTACAACTGGCACAGAAGTGGTGAGTATGCAGTTGGAGATTGCAGAAGATTGAAGGGGGAAATGGAGGTACTGCTTTCATTTTGCTGCCTGATTCCAGGATAGCCATTGGCAGTTAAATTTTCACATTCGGTACAGAAAAGATGTTATTTGTACTTATAAAGAGGCCAGATGTTCTGATGACAACAAGCATCATTTTGTACCCTTCTTCAGTTTGGGAAAACAAATTATAGTTCGGTTGCTTACTTGATAAGGTTGTTTTTGGAGCAGTGTGGGCAACTTAGTCATTATCTGAGCATGTTGAGAATTTGAGTCCAAATACATGTAGAAGGACTCCAGTCGTTCACCTGCATTTTAAAGACATGGGACAACCATATTTATGCTAACAGAGCTGAGGTACCTGAACAAGGCTGATGATTCACCATGGCTGTAACTGTTTTTTATAATGATGATTAATAATGATGATTACTTTCCATTAGAGAACTAGACAGCTAACCAAAAAGACAACCCTACAACGGTATTTAATTCTGCCTCCAAATGTGCTTAGGTTGCAGCTTCTTTCATCCCACACTATTAGCTTGGGGTGATGGGAGTTGCAGTCCAAAGTCTTCACTAATTATGGTGTATCAGATTCAAAAAAGGCTGCATAACATTAGCAACAGTAAGACAATAAATTTTTGGGCTGCTGATGTCTAATTTGAGGGAGGGGCATTGAGAGATGTATATATTCAGAATAGAAATCTGATTGGTGGTTCTAGAACAGGCATTGGCAAACTTGGGTCCTGTAGGTGTTTTGGACTTCAACTCCCACAATTCCTCACAGCCTACCGTATCTTAGTGGCTCATTTGGGAGAAAGGATGAGAACATTGTAACAGAGAATTGAACTAGATATGTTTAAAGTCAAGGAAGGACAGTTGACGAAGTAAGTAAATAAATCAATTTCTCCTTGATGTGGTTAATGTCAGTGATTTACAAGGCAGTCCTGTGCATATTTCTTCAGAAGTGAGTCTCTTTCTTTGAGTTTAGTTAGAACCCGCTTTGCAATAGATTATGTTCAGGATTGCAGGCTTAACAGGCTATGAAAGAAAATCCTTCATTCTGCCTGAGGAGCATGCTTAAGAAAGGGCATTTCATTTTTCACCTGGCGTGTTCAATATAACCTTTTGTATTAATGCTGTGCATCTAAATGCCAGAGGGATAGCAAACGCACCAGTGGGGATGTTGTGAATTCGTGTCTTGTGAATTTCATGCATGGGGACCCCTCCGTTTATTTATCTTATCTAATTGGACAGCTGATCATCTGGTAGGAATATAGCATCCCTGTTCAAGAAACATATTGACAAACTGAAGCATGTCCAGACGAGGGCAGTAGATGGTAGAAACAGTAGAAGATCTGAAAGCCATGTTGAATGGATGTTGTATTAAAGATGGATCAAGCTTAGTTTCTATTACTCTGGAGACTAGGGCACTGAGCAGTGCATTTAAAGTACAGGGAAATATATTCCATCTAAACCTTAGAGAGGATTTCCTGACAGTAAGGGCTGTTCAACACCATCTCATTCTCTGAAAAATTTTAAACAAGCTGGATGGTCATATGTCAGGAGTGCTTTGATTGTGTAGTCTTCCATGGCAGGGGATTGGCCCTTATGGTCCCTTCCAACTTTATGATTCTGTAACAGATTAGTCATAGAATCATAGAGTTGGAAGAGATCCCATGGGCCATCTAGTCCAACCCCCCGCCATGCAGGAAAAGCACAAGTATCCCTGACAGATGGCTATCCAGCCCCTGTTTAAAAGTTTCCAAAGAAGGAGCATCCACGCTGAGGCAGAGAGTTCCACTGCTCATATGGTCAGGAAGTTCTTCCTAATCTTCCTGTAATCAATAGCAGTATCCTGTATACCTTCTTTTCTTGGCAACCCAAAGACCTTGCTGTTTTCTTTAGTTCCCCAGTAACACAGCTCCCCTCTCCACTTCTCTAGAAGGTCTAGAACAAGGGTGAAGAAAATATAGTGCTCTCCAGAGCTCTTGTTCTTCAATTTTAAAAATCTAATTGAGAATCAGTTTATTGCTCAGAAATTGATAAAAGCTGCCCAAAGCTCACCCAAAACACAGCATAGTTTTTTCCACTTCTCAGAGAACCTTAACCCCTCCCAAGGGCTGAAAGGAAAAATAAGAGGTAGCATGACAGCAATTCTGCTTTTCTGAAAAAGGCAGGGGTATCTTTATGGATGGATCAGTAGTCTTAAGTTGGTCCCTGATGCCCAATCCAGGTCTAGTCCAGAAAGCTCTCCTAAAAGAAGTTCAGCTGCTAGACCATGAAAAGCTCCAAATTGAAGAGTAAAACTGAGGGGATTTTTTTTGTAGCATTCAGAAGCATGCATGTGAGTTCGGACTTGAAAGAAACGTCCTGATGGCATTACAAAAAGCCACAATAGCTTTCAGAGTATGTAGCATGCAACACTTTGTTTTCTTCAGTGCATATATCCACACAGTTGAGAGTAGCAGAGGCTTCTTTAAATTCCAGTCCAGTGCGGAAGTGTTGGGGCCTCCGGAAGCGGAGGATGCCCTTGGCTTTCTTTGCCTGCTAGGTGCAAAGGCTACATGGCAGGCACAGGAAAATACTGAGCCCTCTCCTAGCTGAGCCTTCTGGCTGGCAGCCTTCCGCTCCGTCCTTTGCTTCTATCCTGATTCCCAAGCCAGTGCTCCCATTTTGATACAAAGCCAGGCCAGTGAGTGGCTGCAACTCTTCCCTTGTCAGCGGGGGTTGCCATGAATCTGGCTGTCTCTCCAGAGTCCAACTGCATTTTCCCAGTTCACCCTGCCAGCTTCCTGGCCTGCTGGTGAATGGATGATTGCCGCACGCTGCAGATGGCGCCTCCACTGATTGCTTGCATGATGTCTCACATCAGTTGCTCTTTTTTTCTCCTTCTATACACAGTAAGCCTTTGAAAAGCATCCCAGCACTGATTGGACAGGTGTTAGAGATTGCCTTGGCCAATGAAGGAAGGCTGGAACCAGCTTAGTGTCTGGTCATGTGGGCTGATGTCAGATTCCTGCCAGGGTCAACTATGGAGTCTGGAGACATTCACTCCAAGTGCCGTTCCGGAGCTTTCCCTTGGCACCAGCAAAGGGCAAAGCTGATGTTTTAAGGGAAACAGTTATTCTGCTACCTGGTGAAAACTGCAAGGTATAGTGAGGGCTGTAGAACTGTACCTGTCTTGCAGATCCCTGCTTGATTGATACGAAAGTCACAGAAAGCTGTCTCTGTGACTTTGGTTGGCTTTTTGCCCCAGGCTTTCTCACTTGCCCATAGTCAGCTGCTTGCAAGCTGCTCTGGTGAATGTGGCCAAAGCCGAATGGTGAGCCCGTGAGCATTGCTGATTGAAGGCACTGCAGAACAGGTGGGAGGTGGAGAGAGGATTATAAAAGAGTGAAAACTTTGAAAGAGAAGATTAGATGCACTAAAGTCACCAAGGCTTCATTGGAAAAGTTCAGTCAGTCCAAAGTTGGAAGGACTCACTTTTATCAGTTGGGGTCTTTACTGCTGCCCAGTTCCTTTTGGCTTCCTTTCCGCTTTTTGTTTATTTTGAATATCTTGTCTCCTGATCTGACATTTGAAGGAAAAGTGAGCATCTTCTTCATGAAGTCTCGTGCCATGCCTTCTGCCATGTTTAATAGGCATCTGCTAAAGAGTCAGCAAGGAAGGGCTTCAAGCAGTGACTTGGATTGTTTATTCTCACTTGTGTCGGTCCCCTGCAAGGTTGAAAAGCTGTTCTGTCTTTTCAAGGGGAAAGCGGTGTTTCTTCCCCATGCAATGAAAAAAGGGTTTCTGTCACTATTAATTGCAGTCTGCCCCTCATATTATTATTATTATTATTATTATTATTATTATTATTATTATTATTATTATTATTTCTTTCTTTTCTTGCACGGTGGGAAAATATAAAATCAAGACAATTACAAACAAAAATTTGAACCTGAACCCTGACAAATAAGAAATTAACAATTTAAGACATTGAAATATTATAAACATCCCTTACCCCTGACAAATAACAACAACAACAACTATATTCTTATATCCTGCCACCATCTCCCTGAAGGAACTCGGGACGGCTTACAGACAGTACAAAGTGCCTATAAACAAACATAAAAGTGAACACAATATAATATACAATACAATAAAACACATGTACATATAAAAACATCAATTCAGACTCAATCAATCTGCAATCTTCTAACCGTGGCGGTAAATTACTGTGACTATGGCCAGGCGGTAAACATTAGGAATAAAATAAGTGCCAGCTGCAGTAATGGAGACAGGGCATGGGATAAAGTGCAGGATTTGCGACTACTACGCAGGACAACTAGGGGCTAAATATTCTCAAAGGCTTTATTGAAGAGCCACGTTTTTAAGTCTCTACGAAAGGAGGATAATGTGGGAGCCTGTCTAATCTCCCTGGGGAGGGATTTCCAAACTAGCATAAACAACTAGCATAAAACTAGCATAGCAACATAAAATTGAAAACTTACCAGTTAAAACCCATGTAATGTCCTATTCCTTTATGCCGTGAAACAAACCAATTGTCGACGATCTGCTATATAGTTCACATATTGCACATTACAATTAATGTCAATATACTGGCCTTTTTTGGGGAAGGCCTGCTTCCAAAGGAAGGTTTTTACTTGCTTCTGAAATGACAGCATTAAGGGGGCCGTTCTAGCCTCTTTCAGGAGGGTATAATCTCATTTTCATTTCTAATGTCCTTCTTTCTTTCCACAAAATTCAAGCAAAGCATCTTGCATGATTTGTTTTTACATCTAACAATATTGTCTTGGAAGCATGATAGGGATGGACTTCTAGAGTGCTATTTCACTCTAATGCTAGAGCACTTTTACACTTAACAGTAGAGAACTTATAATGCTTCCTGCAAAGGTAATGTCCCAGCAATGTTATTAGGAGCCACCTTAATACTCTTCTACGCCTGGAAGTGGCTCCTGCTCAATGAAGGAATGTGTTATT